CTTAAGACGTTACTGGTCAGCCCCTTGTATCCCCAAATATGGTTATGGTCAAGCAGTCGGGCTTAGACCCCATGGGAGGTTAGGCCATTACTGGTGTCACTCAAAGGTCGCCTACACTTTCTCAGAAGACAGGAGGGTTACAATGACTCACGGTTGCACCAGGAATTTGTACAAAAGTGTAACAGAAACTAATATTATATATATAGCAAAAACTATAACATATCAGGTCAGAGCACCCTATTACATGCTCCCCTTTCAAAATGGAGCCGTCCCTGGCGACGTAATTACAGATGTGGTTAACATTAGTCCAAAACTAGAGAAGATGTGAAAACATTACAATCTAGCAAATCGGAATGGTGTACATGTTACAAAGGTTATAAAAGCGACGCTTAACAGTACAATAGAAAATGCGATCATTTCTCCCAATACCAATTGTTCCAGTACTCAACGCAGCATGTTTCACTCGGTTGTCTGTCTTACACCATTCACATTGGTTCTATGGACATCATAAGTTCAATTCAGTTCATCCCATAATCGACTGCTTCTTCTCGGTCCTTCATATTCTATTTTCTTCTCGTAGTTCCTAGTTCATCCTCGGTCTCCTAGACTCGTCTGCGCTGGTAACCAGTCCTACGCCTTTCAGTATACGACCCGCAGGTCCCGAACTTGCGTTGATCCTTCCGGTAGCATGTCCCCCGGGGCCCTTTCGGATGTACCGCCGGTGGTGAACATTGTTGCGCTGTAGAAGTCCTTGGTTGAGGTTGATCTGCAAGCCGTTGTCCTGGAGACGCAAGTGACACGGTTGGGGTCCCAAAGAGCCGTGAAATCCTGCTATCCTGTATCCCCAAATATGGTTATGGTCAAGCAGTCGGGCTTAGACCCCATGGGAGGTTAGGCCATTACTGGTGTCACTCAAAGGTCGCCTACACTTTCTCAGAAGACAGGAGGGTTACAATGACTCACGGTTGCAATAGTTTACTATATACTATTACTACTATACTACATGAACTATTCTATTCTACACTGTACTGTACTATACTATGAGTATACTTTATGCTACATCCAATTCGCGAAAAAATCATTTCCATCTCTTCTACACCTCTCTGTGGCTTGACGCCTCTCATCCCAAAGCTCCTGTCACACATTCAAGACCTTCCCACGACTTTGCTCCCGACCATTACCCAACCAAGGTCGTTGTGGGGTTAGGAGTAGCCTAGAATGTATCTCATTGTACTTCTAGTTCGATAATCTAATCGCAAATTTGACTTTCCCGACCCTTTAGAAAAATCTATAGGCTGGTGCAGAATAGTAAAGCCTCGGTCACAACCTGCCGTGCGTGTTTTTTGACCGTACGTTTGGGAGGCCACGTCTGCTACGTTTTCTGAAAACATGGGGAAGGACCGGAATGATCAGTACGTCAACGCTTAAAGTGCTACGCTTACGGCGTGTCTGCGTGCTCCAAAATCCGCTGGATTCCGTACGGAGGTGGTACTCAACACTTACGGATCCCCAAAATTTGCCCACGTTTTTGCACGTAGACAGCACGCAGTTGCGCATATGGCGGGTTGTGACCCGGAGGCTTTAAAGCAACCTCGCCGTCCAACTCCCAAGCACATTGGCTTGCTCACGACTTACTCCCAACCATGGTCTGGAGAAGGTCGGAAGGCCATGGTCGGCAGGGCCATGTGTGACAGGGGCTTAAGCAGACGTGTGATTACCCATTGCGGCAAAAACCTCCGCCAGTTTCTCCATTCCGTATGTGAGGAGGCGAAGTCCGAACACTGGGCGGGGAACATTCAAGGCGAGCGTGTGTCGAAATTACAGCATTTATAATGTAGTCTACAATCATACTTGAAATTTTAGTTTTATGTTCGAAGTTGTGTCATATGCAGAGTAGAGACTCCTATCCCGTAAAATCGGCCATTCTACAGGCAGAGATCCTGATTACGTTTTAAGGTATTCTCTAGAGGACAGCCAAAAATGTGCAACGTTGATCTATGTATCAATGTAACATAAGATAAATGGAATGGTTTGATTTGTAAATGGGACACACTACATAGTAGAATCGGCGCTTGCACAGATTAGGGGTATCTACCCTGACATGGAAAACTACTAAATGGAAAAATACTTTTAAAGTTCTTGACATACATAAAACTTGAATGCAATTAACAATTAAAACTTATTTCTTGCCCTAGGATTTTGAAAACAAAAATGCTATCAGAAAGTATTGCAAGTGAGCTCAACAAGAAACAGTTTTCCATTTTAATTTATAGGATGATGTTTTGACAAGTGGTTTCACTCGAGGCTGTAATTTATTAGGACTTCAAATGATGTAAACTTTATCTTTTGATATATCCTTGACTGACCCTTATGTCTTCCCTCATGAACTTAATGCAAAGCGGCCAGGAGAATGATTCGAGCTTGCCATGAATAAAGAATGGTTCAAAGAAACAAACAAACAAACCGCTGAGCGATCTGACAATTACGTTGCCATAAGCTTTAGCCTAAACGTTCTGGCTACCCTAGTGTGGTTTGTTTTGAAGGAACATGACTACAGTATCGTCTGTTTCCCAGGGTCCAAGGCCACATACCTCCCGGGGACCGAAATAAATGGCTGTCATCAGGCACAAGTCACCCCTGACCTAGGGGGTCACTCGGCTTTATAGGGGTTTAAATCTTACTTATCAAACCCAGCTGGGAGTTGGTAAACCTCACAGTGAGGTGCATGTTCAACGTGAGGGGAGAATAAACATACAAGGGATGGGTCGTAACTTTTTATATCACTCTATATTTCACAATTATTACAGGTTCGTCTTACATGTATCCAGTTCTGCACAGCTAACCGATGGTTATTACAAAGGGCTATCATTATGATTAGGAACAATAGACAAAATACAACAAAGCGTATGTGAAAAAAATAACTACACTTTACCTGACAATAAAGTCATGGATGCCATTTTACTGAGAGAGGTCAAGGTCAACCAAGTGTTCTATCAGCAAGTAGAATGTACTAAAGAGTGAAATTTTTAGCTATACACCGCGCTTAATATAATTGTCACAACGTTTTTTTAATTTATATAAAATACTATTTTCTATATTGGGAAACGTTTTGATCCTCAGAAAGTTTGTTTCACACATTGTAAATTTAAGGTGGTTCTGTCGGTAAGGTTCGGCTTCCTCCTCCGTAAAACCTCACAAGAACACGCTGCAGGTTGTCAGGGTTAGCGCCGACTTTCTCCACACGCGTGTGTGAGGTTCGGGTGCTGACACACCGCCGCCCCTGCCAAGTCCTTACTCAGGAGATTTACTCACTAATCCAAACAAAAATAAAAGGATTTGTACCGCCTTAAGGATGATTAAAGGATCTCCGCCGTGGTTCTTAAAGGAATAGGAGACGCTTTAAATGCCGCCCGTGACCCCAAACTGTTTAAGACGTCTTATGTTTCAACAAAACAGAACATCCTGGAGAGAGATGTCTCCAGCCGACATGCATCAGCTTCTGATGCCCGCGTATGATTGGTTAATTGATTAATTGATTGATTGATTGGTGTTTCAGCCGGCTAGGGTCCAAGCTGGTCAGGTATCTATCGTATTCTAACTCCAGTTCGCTCCTCAGATCGCTTTTCCACAATACAGTTTGGCTCAGGAAACGGTTGAAACGTTTGCTCCGTTCAATACGCCCTGCATTATTTCGGGAATAGAATATCTCTCAGCTAACCATGTAGAGGGAATTTGTTTGTTTGTTTACTTGTTTATTAGAGCGAACTGAATATGCCTTCTAAAGTCCGATTGCTACAAGGATCGTGCATGTGACTCGGAGCCACGCGGAATATGGCTAACCAGTTGTAACCAGTTGGCAAATGGCTAATCAGTTGTAATAGCCTTCAGCTACTCTGGTTGTATGCGTGTCTTCATATCATATCATACAGGTGAGCAATTAAACCAAATCAAACCATATCATTTCTCTATCCTCTATCATTACTGGGTGCCAGACTAGTATATCATTCAGTAAAGGACGCGATAGCAGGAGCTAGAATGGCTATAGAAGGGCACGCCAAGCGGCTTCCCTTGTCAAAATTCTACTAGACTGTAAAACAACGTTTTCATCGCTCCCATAATTACGAGCCATGCTATATAACTCATCTTGTCCAAAGTAGTCTGAAGTGTCGACCTGTCTGTCTGAGGGCGCAGTGTGTATCGGTTTCCTTAGTTCCCTGGACCTTTTCCAAGCCCCTGACCTTACCCAAGTCTAGAACGAACATTTTTCTGACACCTTTTCCGACGTTCTCACTAATAAGCTGAAACCCTTCACTGATTTTTAGTCGGGCATGTTGCTTAATGAGAAATTCTTTCATCGGTATTTTCTTGAACGTGAATAAATTTTGACCGTGTCATAAATTTGTGCAGCTGGTATGAGGCATTCAAGTTCCAACATTGCGTGATTTTTTTACTACATTTTCCGCAATATCTTTCGACCAATTAACGCAAAGATTCGCTTCAAAGTTTATGGTATCCAAATGAAGGTTTTTGGGTGGCACTTTTTTTCCTGTAGTATACAATGTACATTCTTCGTGACATTACTGCATTGACTATTGTTGCATACTTAATGAAAAATGATACACACAAAAGCTAGTTGACATCCTGTGCGACTTCGTACATGCAGGCAGTTAAAAGTTGGTTACTGAGTCATTTCTTTAGATATCTTTCCTCAATAATCTGGGTTGCCTTTGTGTTTTTTTACTGCTATGACACATTCTGATACGTTGACTAGCACTTTGTTGTGCCAAGTATTTCAGGTGGCCAATCTGGGAATCGAGTTAGCACGTTTGACATTTCATTTTTATGTCTCAAAGTTTTTGATTCTCGATTTTCAAAGCCACGACACTTGCTGTTACAGTTGTGTGAACTTTTGTCTGAAAATTTCCTGTCCCTCCGCCAAAACGTGGACACACAAAAGCTGATGGACAGTTTCTGCGCGACATGTCACGAAACTGTCGTGCCGTCGTCAGGATAACAAGTCTGGCAACGGCACAGACACGGCGTATCCAAGGCGGGACGAACTCACTCTGTTACTTCAGAACTTGAAGACGATGTTTTATAGCTAATTACGTACAGGTTTCGTTTAACGAAACGAGAAGAAGAGAGTTTTGTATCCTCAGAGAACAAGGTATAACAATGCGAAAGCTGGGATATACGAAAGAAGTATTAAGGGCTCTCTCTCTATATGTATACATCAGCCTCTAAATTAGCGCACGACTCTTCCAGCGCCACAGGTACCGCATAACCAATTGTGAACACAGCTAAGCAGGATAACACTTTATGTCAGAAACACCAACTTAAACACAAAAATTAAAAGAAAACAACACTTACCTTGTATAACTACGATAACAGGCAAGAAGAAGACGAAGAGATAGGACAGACTCCGTTCTACCATGGCGGTGCCGGAGGTTTTTCTTACGTACAAACGTTACAACGAAACGTTATAGACTCCCTGCGAGCAGTACTTGTCCCTGTCCGTATGTCCGTCTGAGGTCCGCCCGTGTGACTGCCGCCCGCCTGCACCCCGCACGGCTTTATAGCCTGGCCACCAGCCGCCGCGGCCTGTGCGAAAGTAATTAGCTGAGTCATGCGTGGGGTGGAAAGTGCAGCTGTCAGTGTAAGGCCGGTGGGGAGGCTTCGATGGGAGGGGGGTATTGGCTTGGGAGATGCCAAGGAAGTGAAGCATTGCTTTCGGCTGTTTGTGTGTGTGTGTGTGTGTGTGTGTCACACCAAAACACACACACACACACACATGTACACACACACATGTACACACACACATGTACACACACACACATACACACACACACACACACAGCACACACACTCACACACACACACACACACACTCTCTCTCTCTCTCTCTCTCTCTCCTTCTCTCACACACACGCACGCACGCACGTACGCACACACACACACACACAAACGCACACACACATTCACACTCACACACACACACACACACACACACACACACACACACACACACACAGCACACTCTCTCCCTCTCTCACACACACGCACGCACGCACGCACGCGCGCGCGCGCACACACACACACACTGTGACACACACACACCGCTGACTACATTGACAGATGCACCTCAGACGTTCATCTTTTCAGAAAAACAAGTGCAGTGCGGAGCCCCACGTGCCCCTCTCCCCTCCCCCGACCTTAATCACCTCCTAAGCCTCTTACGGTCGCCTTACGCCCCACACATGGCGGACCGATGACTCACAAGACGCCGTACGTTTGGGAAGAAAACGTGTTTTTCTCAGAACCAGGCGGTATGATCTGCACTCAGCCGCAAAAATCTGGGTTTGGCCCGAGACCCGGGGGAACGGTTTCACCACTTCCTCGACAAATAACAGACTTGTGACCAGTGATAAATCTATTATGTATTATGTTTTACGTTTTATGCTTTTGTCACTTTGCGTGGGATGCCCTGGCTGTAAGTGTTGTGTGGCGCTGTTAAAATACGTTTAAAAACTGCACACGGTTCTTGTTATTTATATCGTTATGTTATGAATAAAAAAAGTGTAAACAGCCAAACCAATGAATAAATTGATAAACATGGTTTACGTGAAACGATAGTGGAGAACTTCTGTACTTCTGTCACTAAGTTTGTTGACGCTAAAGAAGGTACGACAGACGTCTTTCATCACTATTATCGTCATATGGTCGAACCGGATTCTTAGCCGCAAAAATCTGGGTTGGCCGAGACCGGTCACGGCTGCATCAAGGGAAGGTTTCTTCACTTCAGACTTCTACGAATCACATCTTTTGGGAAGTAAAAAAACGTTTAGCTTCATGTTGTTAAGTCACTATATTGCTAGTGTAAGAATGTAAAGGAAACATATTCAAAAGATAATGTGTATGTATATGCTATATCTTTTGTCTTTTTGCAATCAAGAAACAACCAAAAAGGAAACATACAGATGTCATTTTTAACTTCTACAAGTCAATGACATTTCTGCTTTATTTAGGTGCTTTAGAACCTAGAAGGAACGAACAAAAAGATGAGACGTTATTGTCCTCATCTATGACGCCACTACATCGTAATTTCTTATTCTAACGCCCAACGACTTTCAGATTAAGCAGGTCTAGGCCGCATGTGTGTCTGGTGGTAGATCGTCTGAAAAGTGGCCTGCAGGCTGAATCACGCTTCTCATATGTATTGAAAGATAAAGATCGAACTATATGTTTCGATAGCAAATAGCCATTGCAACTCTTGAAAATAAGTTCTAAAGAGGGAAATGGCTATTCTCCAAGCAGAGGTTTGGTTTTTGGGTTATTTTTTGGCGTGTTTTTAGGCTTTTTTTTCCTTTTTTTGCACTGGATTTTTTCACGTAACCGAAACCTCTGCTTGGAGAGTAGGAAATGGCAAAGAAAGACAGACGATGGAGAGACAATGTCTGCTTTTCGCATGCAGTGTTCCAAACTTGGACGTTCCACACACGGACCAGAAGACTGGAAAAATCATTGTTAAAGCTGCCGGTATGTACTGGGCCAAGGTCGGAGATGTTTTGAGCTGTGATCTCCGTTATTTTCCGCCACGGGTCGGCAGTGGTGGTGCGTTTTTCTCGCCTGATCTCAAGCTGGCTTCAAACGGAGCTGTTGGTGCGATGAAGTCTGTGTATATACAGTTCTGGTTCCTGTGAGGATCTCTATGAGTGATTTAGTGAAATGATTGATCGAGAGCCAGAGAGCTCCACTGTTGATGAATGTTTGGCGTCCTGTCTTTACGTATCAAAGATGTTAGCGTCAATATTAGGGGACTCGGCACCATCGCTGACCCGTAACTTCTCGGCTTTGGGGAGCTGAGACCCAAATAAAAACCAACAAAACAAGGATAAGCAGCACGTTCTGCACCAAAAGATCATGAGATTGTAAAAGTAGCCTTTTTGTATATTATGGCTGATGTAAGACATAATTTCTGTCCCAGACATTGGCACCAGGGCAATTTGCAATAGTTGAATGAATGAATGAATGAGCGAGGAAAATTTAATGTATAGATGGATGAATGGAATGAATGGATGCTATAATAGGCAAAGATATACGAATATATAGTCTTACATATTCATATATTTCATGTAATAGTTGAATGGATGATTGGTTGATCAAGGAATTGGCGATTATACAAGTTTTAATTGAACTAGTGTTCATAAACTTTCAGACATGCCCCAACGTCCATGCATTGATAGTTGCACCTCACACGGTTTTTCTCCTAAACATGTGACACCTGTCCCTACCAGGCCACCACGTGTGTTTCTATCTCAATTTACCCTTAATCGCTGGCCTTAATCGCCTTCTGAATCCGGCTTTTCTCGGATTACCGTCTTACCTCCTTAAGTCGTCTTACCAGGACCCGATGAGGTTAGGACTTCGGCTCGGTCACGTGGTCTGGAAGAGGAATGTTAGAGGTCATCAAGTCCAAGCGTCAAGGTCACCTGGTGACGACAAGACCCATAAATCTGACCAGCATGTAAAAGCGACGGTAAAAACGTTAAGCGTCTTCCCAGATGTACACCTCCACAACAACAACATCAATTAAAATGGTTTAAAGATCTCGAGGTAAACAGCGTTTCTTAGGTTTCACCTGTGGGTCTGGGCACGATTACGGCGACTTCCCTCCGTCAACAGCGATAATTTCTGAACAGAACCACCTTTCAGCACCCGCTGCCTCCCGGTGAGGGTCAGACTTTGCTCCGTAAGTCCTGCTAAAACCGCAAAGCGCACGTTAGTGTCAGGCTCGGCCACATTCGTCGGAGGGTCGCAGACTGAAGGTGTGCAAACTCTTGGGATAGTCGTGGATGTGTCGCTCAAAATTCAGCTGGATTGGTAGCCTCTACCGGGTTTATAATTTCAGAGGCGACTGGAAAGAGTAGAGATTGACCAAACAGACAGATAACATACCAGGGGCTGCAAACTGTGCTCCTTTAGCGGGCTCCGCTGGTTTGTCATCTGTCTATTTGGTCAGTTTCTATTCTTTCCAGCCACCTCTGAAACCTGGTAGACTGGCTACTGTCTTGGAACAGAAAATGCTATCTTACTCTCAGATCCTTGTCGGTGGCTGGTCCTGTCATAGCTTGCTTTATAAGTCCTACGACATCACGTACAAAATCGTACGACGGCCTACGACAACAAAAGTGACCGCGCACCGTAAGCCGAGTCTCTGTTCCCTCCACACGACCTAGATGCAGTAGACCGGGCCTGGCGCGTGTCTCAGGCGGACTGAGGAGCCCCTAGCCTCCCGCCGAGGGGCGAGATTCCGCCCCGGCGCTGGCGCGTGACTCCCGTCCGGACGGATTTGGTACCACGGTGCGAGACGGCCGCCCCCGGCCCTGAACTTGGACGTGCGAAAAGTCTTCCCTGCGTGCGAAGTCGACTTTGCTTCACTTTCATCTTTCTGTTTGCACTGTACATGTACTGACGGTGTTGAAGACTGAATTGAATAAAAAAAGAAAGACCTTTTGGATTTTGAGTCACAACTAGTGCTAATGACTATTTCATAAGCCTACCATAGTTAGCAATTTGAAGAAACGCTTATAAAACACTCTTATTACATTCCTTTTGTAATAAGAGTGTTGGAAGTTTGAAAGATTGAGACAACACCTTTATAACCATACGGAAACCCAATGAGTAAAATATGGCTACAGTATATGGTCTACAATATAGACGTGTGAGAGGTATATGTCTGGCGTACGAACTTGACTTTCTTTGACAGGTGCTATACTTCTGTTTGGGCTGAAACTTTTCAAAAACAGAAGAAAGTCCTCGTGGATTTTGAGTTACCACGTTGACTAGTGATGATAAGTAGTAGTGACGGTTTCATTCTTTGAACATGGAACGAATTAGCCTTGTGTTTTGCTATATTTAAACATTCGTTTATCATATTCCAAATATAAAATCAAGGGCCACAACGATTACCGTCTAGTGAGAGGGAGTTTAAAAAGTAGCCAATTTCCTACTCCCACTCATATGCCCTTTTCCATTTGAATTTCTTGCGAGAAACGTCTGTCATGCGAACTTGGCTTTGACAAGAGCTTCTGTTTTTTCTCTGTTTGCACAAGACATCATAGACTTTGAGTTGATACGTAGTGGTGATAGCTATATAGGTACACGACGTGTGTTTGAGGAACAATTCATTCCTTTTGTTTTGTTGTCTTTTGAACTATGCTTGCATCGTATTTCAATTATGAAATAAGGGTCCACATACATCCAATTTTAGTGGCATCTGTTAGCCTCAGATTTGAAAAAAGTACCCCTTTCCAAACTCGCACCCGTGTTGTCCTTAGCCTGTTCATTACCTTCGCCAGGAAGGTTATGTTTTCAGTATCGTTTGTGTGTGCATTTGTGTGTGGTTTAGCAAGATAACTCGAGAAGCAGTGGATGGATTGAAATGGAACATGGTAGGTGGGTAGGTCTTCATGACACCTAGAAATGATTAGATGTTGGGCCCCCTGACGGCTTTCCCAGGTAATGCAGCAGAACTTCCGGTTTTGGTATCTCATGACCTAGACATGCTAGGGTCACGAAATTCGAATGACAGGTAG